TACATGGACTCAAATGTATATGAAAAACACTAGGCGGGGAGACGCCTTTAAAGTTAGCAAAAACCCGCCCTACATTAAATTGCAAAGAGACGGACAAGCACTGCCATGGCAAAAGTTGCTAGGAAATTGCCAACTTGGGAAGATGCGTCGCTGCAGGGACGGTTGATGTCATACTGTGGAGGGGGTACAATTCCTGAATTGCAGATTTCTGAATTGTCGTCATCTCCATTGTCACAGCAATAGTTACAATCAATGTCTTCATCTATCAGGTCAAGCGCGACAAGAATAGCTTCCGAATCGTCATCCACTAATGCCGGACACTGGTCACCAGATTCGGCATTCCTGCATTCATCGTGGGTTGCACATCTGTTTATAAACAAGATAAATATAATACAATTTAGTCGAATATTAATACGGGATCGATAATATTTTAAATACACTAAATGTATCTATTGTTATCTATTATAATATATTGTCTATACTTCTGATTTACGCTTCACAGTCCATAGGTGTATATCGTAATGTATTGCTTATACTTCTGATTGACACTTCACAGTACATAGGTGTATATCGTAATGTATTGTTTATACTTCTGATTTACGCTTCACAGTCCATAGGTGTATATCGTAATGTATTGTTTATACTTCTGATTTACACTTCACAGTCCATAGGTGTATATCGTAATGTATTGTTTATACTTCTGATTTACACTTCACAGTACATAGGTGTATATCGTAATGTATTGTTTATATTTCTGATTTACATTTCACAGTCAATGGGTGTACATCGTAATGTATTGTTTATAATTCTGATTTACACTTCACAGTACATAGGTGTATATCGTAATGTATTGTTTATACTTCTGATTTACGCTTCACAGTCAATGGGTGTATATCGTAATGTATTGTTTATACTTCTGATTTACACTTCACAGTCCGAAGGTGTATATCGTAATGTATTGTTTATACTTCTGATTTACACTTCACAGTCCATAGGTGTATATCGTAATGTATTGTTTATACTTCTGATTTACACTTCACAGTCCATAGGTGTATATCGTAATGTATTGTTTATACTTCTGATTTACGCTTCACAGTCCATAGGTGTATATCGTAATGTATTGTTTATACTTCTGATTTACACTTCACAGTCCATAGGTGTATATCGTAATGTATTGTTTATACTTCTGATTTACGCTTCACAGTCCATAGGTGTATATCGTAATGTATTGTTTATACTTCTGATTTACACTTCACAGTCCATAGGTGTATATCGTAATGTATTGTTTATACTTCTGATTTACACTTCACAGTCCATAGGTGTATATCGTAATATATTGTTTATACTTCTGATTTACACTTCACAGTCCATAGGTGTATATCGTAATGTATTGTTTATACTTCTGATTTACACTTCACAGTCCATAGGTGTGTATCGTAATGTATTGTTTATACTTCTGATTGACACTTCACAGTACATAGGTGTATATCGTAATGTATTGTTTATACTTCCGGTGTACACTTCACAGTCCATAGGTGTATATCTTAATGTATTGTTTATACTTCCGGTGTACACTTCACAGTTCGCTTGTTCCTACTGCTGGACATTGTCATTAATTATGTCATCTACCCACGCCGTCTAATGTTGGAAATATGCAATGAATTGCGTGTACTATGACGTAATGATGACGTACATACCCTTTTGTTATAACTGGAACCCCAGTCGTGTAACTAATTTCGGTTTTGCACACCATTTCGTTGTCTACGCATGTTTCAGATTCACAGTTTAGAAAGACATCAGCGAGTTGAAGCAGACTATCAGTAGGGTCAATAGCTAATGAGCTACAAGAGTAACAAGCTGCAATAAATTCGGTTTTGTAAGTGATATTTCAAAACATTGGAAAATAAAACTCGGCGATTACATCATCTTTATAACATGATAAACAAACTAGTACATGATTTGATCAATCCAGAGTCTAACGTAGGTGAAAACCACGCCAATCAAGTCGTCAAGTCCGATCACGAAGAGTTAACTAAGACGTACAAATTAATTCTGGGCAAATAGTTTGTAACTTGGATTCTGATTCGCGGCATTGAAATACAATTTCTGTTTATGAATAATTGGCAGAGTCGCTGTTTTTTATATACAGTACAGTTGTTTGTACGTAGTCGTCTAGCTATTTTCGAGTTCACACGATGTTGCCTGCTAAACTTCAGTGCAATATTCCCTATGTATCAATAAATACATATTAGCCAAGTGCTTATTTTGTGAACGGTGACGAAACGTTGCATTTGGCTTTCCAAATTGTAACCTTAGTTGCACTTACTATTGGAACAACAGTCATCGACTTCCTCTTCTTCTGTTTCACCGGATCCACTTCCACTTTTACTGCCACTTTTACTGCCACTGCTATGTTTATTACTGCCACCGCTACTTTTTTTACTTTTGGAAGAAGTGTCGCAAGTTCGGGTCCTACGACGAGAACAGTCTTCACACGATGACCAGCAACTCCACGGACTGCAATCGTCTGATATGAAGAAATTAACGCCTCTGTGTTATTCTTCGGACTCAATTAAGTTTTCAATTCGGACAAACGCATGATTAAATAGAAACTAAAATAGCGACAGACATATTTATAACTGTTGTGGCATTGAAACAATTGTTCTAACATTTGAATGAATTCACAACAAATCACTGAAAAGTAAGAGCAAAGTATCGCATTTTGTTCTCATTTTATATATTTCACTCTATGTATATTGTTCTCTAATCACGCCAAATTTGTTTTTATGGTCACATGTCCAACGCTTTTAGAGTAAAAGGTAAACGATATTTTTTATTTAGGATTTTGAGTTTTTAGGCCCAAAACTTTGATAAATGAGTTGTGGCGAGGCATTTTACTTTTTTTGCGAAAAGGGCAGCACAACAATAATAGAAAATCAATGCAATTACAAATCTACAAAAAAATACAGATACAACTGCTCACCATAAACTTCGTGATAGTATGGCAATTCATCATTGCATAGTTCTTCATCACAGCAATAACTACACGAATCTTTGACTATGCCGAATTCACAGTACTCATCGTTATCGCTCTGATCTGATGAACATATCTACAATCACATGGAACAGAGAAAATATCACTACAAGGCAAGTATTGAAATTAACAGCCTGGCCCATTATTCTATTTAATTACCCTACCCTATTCACCCTACTAATTCTACAAATAATAATAATAACAAATCTTAATCTTGAATAAAATAAGATTTTCAATATTTTAATAGCGTATAGCGATATATAGTGTTAATTCCACTTCGTTTCACAACATGCGTTCGTGCACAGTACTAATCTGAAGTGCAATACAGTCCCAGTTTGTGATCAAAGGCTTATATAATATTATATACAATATATATACAAACACTGTAAACGAAATTGAATGTCACATTGCCCATATCGGTGGTGGGAAAACATTGCTGCTACGTCACGTGACAATGGTTCACGTGACACAGATTACTTACGTCAATGTCTACGCACTTCTTGGTTGTCTCAAGACTACCACCAACATTCTCAATCACCGTCTGACAATGTTGCTGAAAAGAAGATAACACAAAACAAAATACTGTCATAACCAGTCTAAAACTAAACCGAAAACATATATCACTCGATGTATATCACTCGATGTACTTTATATCACTAATATCTCATCGTAAGCACTTCGAAACACCCGTCAACCACCGGGTATACTGTAAAGGGGGTAATTATTCACTGTGTTTTAATTTAGCTTATTTCGCTGACTGGAAAAATGCGCTAAATTAAAACACAGTGAATATGTAAAATTTAGCATAGAACACATTATCTAAATGACGAAACCGTGAATTTAAAACCCACTGAATATGCCTGAAATGGTAAATCAGTGAAATTTAAACCCAGTGAAAATTAGTCATTTTACAGTATATTACCCTCGGTTTCACGCATCACTCATTACCCAATCACGTAATCAAGCCCAGTACATGCCCGGTTCAAATCAATATCCAACACTTGGTAATTTACTACATAACAATGACCAATTCGCTCGAATCAACTTGAAATTAAACACTTATTAATTTAGTCTAGTACACATCGACCTCGCTTATTTATATGAGTATGTAGCTGCCATTTCTCGTGCCCTCGGGTATAATAGCTAGTTTGTTGGTTTACAGATACAGAAGAAATCGTTATACTCACATCAGCGTTACATGTGACGGTGTTTTGACGACAGTAGTAATTGCTGGATACCCCGTTACACGAATGGCACTCTTGAACACCAGCCAACACTCCTGTGAACAGAAGTTGTGTATTAATTATCAACATCATATAGCTTCTTTATATAGACATTTGAAGATACAATATAGAGTGACAACAATATTATAAGGTTATTACGAGAATTCCTCATTCTCGTAATAACCTTATTATGATACATCTTTTCCTTCCAGTGATACACCGTGGAAATGTTTACTATCACTAGTTGATAATTAGTAAATATATAACATGTAGTTTATTTCACTACAAAAACCATATCTCTATTTTGTTGCTGCGCTATCCATTTCACGATTGCCATGGCAATGCACGGTATGCATAATGCGCAAACAATCACACATCCGGCTACGTCTTTATCAATGTTAATTTTTCTATGGCCACCCAAATACAAGCAGTTGTCATTGAAAGTACCAGGATGCTGAACTTTTTGTGTCCAGACATAAGACACACATGTGATCTTTATTAGTTTCGGTTCGCACGCAGTCGGAAAATTGGAACTTATGTATTAACTTGTATGCGTACGCCCGTGCGTCCGTCTGTTCGCGCGTATCCAGCAGTATCTCACATATGCCTAGACCATGCAAGGTACCTTCCATGCCTAGACTGACCAAGTTCACACACGCACATACACATCAGATATTATATAGGACATATGTAAATGCGTTTCACGATCCGATTCAAAATGGTCCAATGGTCACTAGTTTAAGGACAAAATGCATCAAAATAAATACATGGGATGCACGTCGTTTATTTAATTCAAAGCGAGTTTAAAATGTCCGGTCGGCATCCATTTTGTTTTAAAGATTGCAGTCCGAGATCTATATACCTGACATGTCTAGAACGATCAAGTTCAATCTTTACGAATACATCGGACATCATATCGCACAAACGCACGTGCATGTTTGTCACTATCAAATCCAAAATGACTGACTTTCGGTCGTCTTGTTTAAACGAATGTAGTTTTACGGAGCCATATCTCACACATGCATGGACCAATCAAGTGTGAACTTCGCATCGGGTCATACATTTTGGAAACATATTTAAGTTACTTATCAACTGATATAATTCAAACTATATATTTAGGGATCTTGTCATATTGACAATAACTGGTTACGAGTCACACGTAATGATAACGAAGTATACGTAAATATTGTGTTGTTATGGAAGATACAGTACGTTGTTCGACCAACATGTCACGTCGCTCATTTATCGCGAGATTTCACATTTAGCGCATCATACTGGGATAGGACAAACTCACCCAACCATAGCAATATAATTGTTCAATTCATAAAAGAAATGGCCAAGCAGAACATAGGACTTGTTCTTAGTACATTTAGATGTAGTAGAGCGATGTAAATATGCGACGTGAGCGTGAAATGAAATCAACTCCACCTGTTATACTGTGGCGTGTGATACAAAAACTACTAATCAAATCTATCCAAACCCCAAGGTGGGAAATTTGCATCAATATACGCCTGTCTGAATGAAGGGTGGGGTGTTTTGCACGTAGGAGTACCACTACATGCGACCTAGACTGGCAAAGTCGGGACTTCTTTTTTGTTTTACAAAAAGAAATAATTAATTGTTATTTTATTCCTTTCAACATGATCGCGAAAACTAACCTGACCCCTCATGCTTAATTGACAATTAATTTTTGTTTGTAAAACAAAAAAGAAGTTCCGACTATGCCAGAATACATGCGACCGTGAAGCGCATATGGAATATATAACAATTCAGTAACAATTCAGGTCATTGAGGCTTTGAGGACGGGGAATGCAGACAAATGATTTAACAGCAGTTGTCAAGTTGTCGTTACTATGCATCTAGCACTATAACAGAGGGGATTTCCTTTATCGGGTTTAAAACCTCCACGGGAATACTAGCATTAGAACATGGTCGATGTAGATATGTACCAACTATACCAACCGTTCTACTTCATTCACATTCGTGATCGGATAAAGTGTATAGTGTATCTAGAGCAGACTGTTGTGAGACACACTGATTTCACCGTAGATAATTGGGCTTAAAATCCATTTCGTCGGAACATCGTATGTGTTTTGAGACACGCGATGCTATATATGGCTATGGGTCTATAGCTCTACGTGTGTCGAATCTCGCCTTCTGTAACCGCTTTTTCTGTGAAATTCAGGGCTTTTCATGGATTTTTAACTCAATTGTTGGATTCCGTTGCCCGACTAATTTTATTATTAATAAAATAATACTTGTAATTAATGACAAGTACGTGAAGAAATAACATGGATAATTTCAGTGTATGTTTTAGATATTCTACGTTGATTCACGAGTAGAAAATCTGGGGAAATGATTGATATCCAAAACATTCATTGACCGTGAATCATCTGATTTATCTAGGGACCTCGAAATTGTTTTCTACTATAAATTCTTACTACAGGTGTCAAGACGTTCTGGCCCTGGTCGCTTGCGGCCCTGGTAAATAAAAGACAATCCGGCCCTGGTTTGGACGTTCTGGCCCCAAAACAGGTTGGTCGATCCGGTCTGGGTATAAATCATATTCGATATGTGTTCATATCTAATGTTAATATATTAAATGCACAACTATGTATGACAATATGGCTATATTATTCACAATTTTTCCGATTTAACACCGTGTTTGACACAATGGTCGTCGGGCAATACATTTCAGTTACGCTCAGGGTCCGCTTTTTTGTGGTTTGTTGGAACGTGTTTCCATGGCGAATTGAGTGAATAAATTTAGAACAGAAGTCGGAATGTGACAATGTAGCAAGATGCCTTCAATTTGTCGCCAAGTTAAATGATCGACTTCTTTCTATCAATGAGGCTGTACTAGTAGTTTTCGCCAAAACCAAACAGCGTAAAAGAATCGACCATCCCGGGAAAATGATCATTATAAGTATTTCGTTACGCCGGACATGTCGCGGAATAAGAGAAGCGCTACGTCGCTGGAAGCTGTCCGGCTAGAATTTGTTTGTGAGATCCGGGTAAAAACAATTTATTTATCATTTACAAGTTTTTTTCTCGAAATGCTTGAACAAATTACACAATCTATAGGCTTTCTTTTTCGTCGGGATAATATATACACAAAAGTAGCTGCTAGGTGTGATGAATCGGTATAGATATGGCATTGCGGCGAGGTGGTATTCAAAAACACGATTTAGTATCAACACCGAAGATCACACTCCAATTTGTCGAAATGAGTGTTTGGTAAGGCAGGTGCTTAGCAGTCATTTAGCGGTATCAACTCCTGTCACACTTTGTCAAATTTAGTCCTTAGTATGACAGTTTTTGCACTCTTTACATGGTGTAAGATTAGGGTTACCACTGTTTAAATATGACGTTGGAGACAATGCGTGTCCAAAAATGTGTGACCTTTACGGGCTGGCCTTTAAAATCATTAAGTACCAATTGTATTTCTCCTTGGCGTGTGAAAGCCGTAAACGATGCGAGAGTATGCAGTAAAGTTTAGCCTTCGTCTGTTTAATAACAGGTCGATGTAGTGTAAAACAAAACAGAACAAACAAACGTTTTTCTGTGCTGGAAAGATAATCGCGTATGGAAGGCATCGCATTGAATTACGATTACCATACCAGTATTCCCTCCATGTTATGCGACAGTAATATTATTGAACTCGAAATCTACAACTACACTTGCCGACGACAAATGAGTACCATGTAGAAAATCTAGTGCAGGAGGTGGGTAACCTGAAGTCGAAAATGTAAATATTAAAATAAATAAAACTGTAAAAATGCACTTACGTGTGGCCGCTATAGCAAGTGTCAGAATAAACACAGTTCTCAAATCCATGGTTGTGAGAGGGGTGATGGAGCAGTCTTCTTGGCGTGTTTGAGATGCAGAATGATTGATTATCCACTATTCGCCACTTTCATACACACAACTTAAGATACAACAAAAGCGATAACATACGTCATTCCTGTGTTGTGCAGACGGTTACAGTGGTCCCCTTGACTACAAATGTATTAAAACAGGCCGAGCCCCTTTCCAGACAAAAGCGAAACATTTTCTGGTTTACCTCACAATTTCGACTTAATAGACTCGCACTTTATAAACAGATCAAATTATCTGTCATATTGTTTTTATAACTTTTATTTCAAACTTTTATTTATTTTATCACAAGAAAGATTATTATTTTTTTGCAATCTTCGCACTTTTTTTCCTGTGTTCTTGCGCTTCATATGTTCTTTGTTTACAATGCAATCGACATTGCATTTATGTGTGGCGTGGCGCGTACCGCCCTCCAACAATAATCGCAACAGATTTCAGTAGAGTGTTAATAATACCTGTGAAAACCTATTACTAACTATTGTGATCACCACGAGAAATGATAAAATGCAGTTGGTATGGCAACCACGAGAAATGATAAAATGCAGTTGGTATGCAGTTGCAACAAATCCTGAAATATTGCAGCAATGAAGCTAGCTTGCATTTCGCAGAAACAAGGTCCTGGTGTCTAATCACCAAATCAAAACAAATCACTGAAATCAACCAAGGTCACATAGGCACGATTTGCAGGAACCCTTATTGTAGTATCAAGGGGTCATTTAGAGTTTTCCTCTAGACCATGAGCAGTGGGAATGATGTAACTTTGAGGGTGAGGCCGATTATGACAAAGGCAAAAACTCGAAGACAGGGGGAATAATCATCAGATAAACAACGGACCACTTTCTTTATGTTTCAATGGCAACGAAAACCGCGCACGCAATTAATAATGTTCGTGGGCTGCGATTAAAATCCTTTTGACTTGACTTTGGTAACGTAAGCGCTCACAATACAAAAATTACACGAATACCACACCCGCTAACTCGGCACTGATAATCTTCTCACAAAGTCAAGTTTTGTCATTCTTCGCGAAAGACATTTGCATAACATTTTCTAAATTAAACATATGATCAATACCTAAGAATAAGGAATTATAATCAATTGGTTCACAATCAAGAATGAAATGAAAGAAAATGCATAAAGAAATGTTGCAGCAAATTCTAGTGGTTGAAAGTACGACGTTCATAGCTCAAGGGGTAATTTTTACCTTGATATAAACATTATTTAACATAATCTAATATTTATTATGCAATATTTGATAATTCTAATTAACTATTCAAAATAGCTAGACGTTTTGCGTGCAATAACCCTTCTTTTGTAGCATATGGACATGTTTAAAGTATAAGAGGAACACAAGAACCTAACCTGCACAACAACTAAAAAATTGAAGCACTAAATGAAAAACAAGTATAACGGTGCATTGTCCAAATAACATTCTACCCCAAAGCATAAAAGATACTGCTGAATCTTACGTGTATACGCCCTAATCGAACAATAGACGTGTGCAAATAAGCACGCATACATTACGTTAATAGGCTGAATGCGATTCATGAGAACATTGTCCTGAACGACAAAGAAACACCTGAGAAACTGCGACCTTGTAATGGTAACTAGGTGTAGAACGTTCTTGTTTCTTATTAATATAGCCACCCAAACACTATATGTTGAATGTTATAGAACGCCCTACTGATATGAGGTCGGCATTCACCTAGACATTTGATTAAAACGTCACTGAATTATGGGAATGTCATAGCTTTAAAATTCCACATGATAATGTAAAATCAATTCGTAAGTAAATTCAATAAAAAAAATATTAAATAATTATTTTTTTAATTAATTGTGATGGTGGTGATTCATAACAATAAAGAATTCCCAATAGCGTCACATTCGAAGACGCGACAATTATTTTGCCATACACCCATCTCTTCATCCAATATGGCGCTGTGGGAATCCATTATTGTTTAAATAATAGGGCAAGGACGGGAATGTGTGCAAAAACGGACGAGGCGAAGCCGAGCCCATCATTTAAGAAATATCTCTTTCCGGGACTTGTATGTCATAAATAAAATTTCTTAGTCGAGTTGCTGTGGCTTTCCATCAGACCAAATCTTCTACCAAACTCTTCTTAGTCTTACAACTATCAGCGTTTTTCTGCTTTGTTCTGTTTATTTCGTTGAACTGCTTTGTTCTGTTTATTTCGTTGAACTCACTGGGAGCACCTAGACAACGGATGTAGTTTCTTTATGATCGCCTATGACCTGGTATTGCTGAATAAACACTCACATACATTACATCCAATAGTTTAAAAAACGAGTGACGATTTTGTTATTTTGTAGGTTAGTGATAGTGTCCACTATTTACAAATTTAGACACGTGGTACGAATTGGATATTTGTATACGTTAAATTTTACTACAAAAAATATGTACATTTTCTTATCATCGAGACAGCGAGAGAAAGTTTCGATAACAAAATCAATTTTGCAATTTCATATTATATTGATTTCATGAATAAGAAGTTATTGTATTCGTGATTATATCTAAATAATATATTCAGTTTTCCCTTTGCAAAAACCTTGAACAGTAACGTACATGGCAAATTAGGACTAGTACGCAAAGTATGGATAACTAAATAAAATATGAGAGTAATGACACTTTTCTCAAGACCATAGCTTGTTTAGAACGCAACATTATATAGGAACTTCTTTTTAAATTTTAACCAACTATATGTGACTGCATTTGCACCTTCATTTTGTGTTTGGGTGTATATTTACAACATAACTATCGATAGATGGCGTTCTTATTTGCGGTGAATTGTAGTATTAATCCCCGGATTAACCCTATGGATAATGAGATCTGCACAATGAAGGACATTTGGAATGGAGTCCAGTAAAAGGGCAATAATACATTTTATTTTGTATTATATGATAGCTTATATTGATAGACGGGAATCTGATTTGGAAACACGTTGCCTATGTATACCATGTTTAATACTGAAATATTACGAATTCCCTGAACTTGATATACTAGTAAAACCCACTTATTGTTACTATGAATATGTAAATGATATTAAACGAGGGGGAGTGCAATCATTCAAATATGAACGACAAAAGAGCCGCCTGCTCGAGTCAAGTTCAATATCTAAACGGATTGCACGACCACGAGTACATTTCCGACTTAGAGCACCTCAACCAGGGAGAAACACATTGAGTTCGCATGAACCCCTGCAAATCTGAGGATTTCAAGTTGAATATTTTTTTCGTTTATTTTCAATTTTACTTAGAACCGAATCACCCCATGGAGTTTATACTAACCAATCACCATCACATGATTGTGTCGGTTTCAATGTTACACGTGTTTTATTTGTTCACATTCATTTACATATGCAGAAGGTGAACAAGTTACATAGTATAGTCACAGCTCAGAGATATTTAGGACGGCACTGACAACATGACATGGTATAAAATCCGACCACTGACATCCGATTCCTGGTAGATCAGGGTGTTTACCTTTGAGCTTGGAGTTTTCTGAAATAATATAATGAGAGTAAAGGCCACTAAAACACACAGTCACGTGGCAATGCAATATCTGGATACTGCACTAATAAGGATGTATCATCGTAATGCGACAGCGTACTGTCTGAGTGTATACTTTGAGGTACCCTCATAATAACCTTATTATACATCTTTTTCTTGCAAGGATACATCAAGGGAATATCGAAATCCAAAAAGTTTAGAACAGAATCAACGAACTTCTTTGTGTGGAGTCCGGTCAAACCCTGGTGGCAGCTATGTTGGTTTTTATTTTTGGAGGACAATTATGCGCGTAATCATTCCATATTTGGAATTCGCATTTCTTTATAAGATAGAATGAAAATACCCCGCAAAATACCGCAAAATGACGGCACGCTGTAACTTACGGCGTTACGGTGACATATGTATAATAATGTCTATTATGGCTATTGGAATGCATGACGGTACAGCTCGTCATTATTAATATTTCTATGGTCCTTGGGGATCCTGGACGTGTACTCGTAATGTAAATACCATGTGAAATGTGCATAGAAGGCCCTTTAGTTTACTATATATAATTACTTCACGTGGTTTTAACTGAACGTGTTACATGTATATAAATATTACGCGTAATACAGTATCAATTGCGAGTTCACCGGAGAGGACGCATTGAGATAACTAGACTGGTATACAGTTTGTTTCCCCGTGCTTTTTAAATAAATGTCGGGGTTTGTAAATATTCGTAATTGCGGAAATATTTAAATTTTAAAGTAAACCTGCGTAAGCACATGCTAATCCGAGATTATCACGAGTTTCCTGGGATGGATTAAAAATAATACAAAGTCTCATAATATTGAAAAAGATAACACCGTTCTTCCAAACACTAACACGAACTGGAGGTAAACCACAGAAGGCTTTTAATGAGTTTAGGTGAGTATATTACGTGCAGAGAGCATGAAACCCGTAGTCAACACAACGTACTGACCCTACTGATCTGACTGTACCCGGATGCTGAAACCCGGAAGTAATGGTAACAGGATTATAACAGTGAAGAACCGAACAGAGTATTTACATGCCGTTTATTAGGTGATATTTACTTTATTTACTTCTATGTCAACAGCTACAATTATTTTTCACTACTTAATCAACTGTTATAAATTATGCCATGTGATGAAAAGATGATTTGCAAGTAGAATTAAAATGACTCGATGTTTTCAGATTCTCATCGAATATTACACCCATATTACAAACGCCATTATTGTCAGGAATAATAATATCATCTACATCAATATAGCAACTGCATTCACACATGGTTTTAACACACATGATTGGAAAGTGATCCAAGACATGCAAGACCAAATGAGCTGCATTAATCCAGAGATTGTATTTTCTTCTTTTTTGCGTAAAAGATTCTCTATCATATGAAATAATTCGTCTAATATCTAAAGAACAAGACGTCGGATTTCATCGAAACTGAAGACTTAGGTTCCTTGAGATGCATGCAAATAAGCTTAGTAATTAGCATAAATGTTAATCATTATTATTTTTTTAAGAATTTTCAAATATACTTGAGAAATCAGTTAGTAATATTAGATCAATGATATTTGGAATATGTGTGCGAATTTCTTAGTCGTGAGTTGCTTGGGTATTTGTTTTAGTGTTTGTTAATTATGTAATTTGCATAAACATTCGATCATGATATTTCAATGACACATTGAGTGAGTTGAGATTAACCATAGAGCTAATAATTTTTATGTTTGAATTTGTTATTTTCATTTATATAATAATTAGACAATGTTAAGGGACTTCCAAATGTACTTAAAAACATTCAGTAGTATCAATTCCATTTATATTACGTTTGTAAATAACCCAGTATTCTGACTTTTCAAGTAGCTAATTTGTAAGACAATTTCAGACTTTTCTAGGAATATATTAAACAAGTCCTTGCAAATGATTCTGATTTTTGTATAATATGCCTCAATGTTTTTGAGATATTAATGTATAACATGGCGTTATAAATTAAAAAAAATGAATGAATTAACAATGTTCATGTTTTTCATTGATTTGATTGAAAAAAATAATAAATAAAAACACACGTGTATTATAAAACATCTGTATTTTTTATCAATTAAGCACAAACAAGTTTATGCAAGCACTACTAAAAAATATAGAGAAAAGACTTCAAACCGTAATCAGAACCTCGAACTGGGGACTCGTATGTAAACACTATGTCAATGATGCTCACCGAATGAGGTGTAATTCCACGCGAATGAGACGTGTTTTCAAGATAATTTAAACAGTGGGTTTTCAATTAAAACAGCATGTTTTAATATAAAACATGAATTTAAAGTGCTTCCAAGATTTACAGTGTATGTTGGTTTGGTGTTCTATAATAGAACTTCTGGTGTGGATTCTGTATTTTGGTGACTTGTAAGACGATTCTTGCGTTATAGTCCAACCTGCTGAACTGCATTTCGCATTTCTTGTGTCATTGTTTGAAAACAAGCTGCTCTTCTTATATATGATCTCCTTGCGCAACATGAAGACTATGAAACAAACAAAGAAAGCAAACACAAATATTGTCAATGAAGCGGCATTTATAACTTCAATAGAGTGAGCTGGAGAAGATGAGATGAAAACAGACACCATTCAGAGAGGAATGGGACACACGGAGTGAGCTGGAAGCAATGATTACAAGTGTGATGATACATAAGGACACAGCATGCGCCCTCTACAGTCTATAAAAAACATCACTCGCACTCCGCAATTTACCCCTCGTTAGTTAGATGTGTGTCTGCTCACCAGAGTTTAAAACCGGAGGTGTAGTCACCTGCGCATGCGTCAGATGGCCATAGCGTGTCATTGTTTACAAACAAGCGTCTACCAATGAGCCTTTGCGTTTTTAGCGTGTGTTGTTATCGTCGCTTGGGACTCAATTCCCGCGCGTGCGCAGATGACAGCCCCCCCGCTTTAACAGTACCGTAAACTCTAAACTCAAACGCTAACCAAGCAAAATCGAACAATGAATTATCTATTATCTAATTATTTAAATTCAGTCGGTACTTTCCAGGTGTTATGACTGGTATTTGACAACCGATAGAAACTTGAGAATGGTGTGTGGGTGGATGGTAAACAAACTGTTCTAAAGGTTAATGTACTTTGAAGCTGTCTCGAGACAACTTTTCCCTACAAAGTACGTTGTCGGTTGAATAGCTTTAATCACCTGGTAGGTATGGCTGTCTTAGTTCGGCCCAGACAATCGAATTACAGTTATTGGCATACAATATTGAAAATGCTGGTTGTACATGCCATCGCACCAAATGTTATCACATCAAAACACCAGCAAGTCTGTTTTTCACTGATAGACGATTAGTGACGTAAAAGTAGAATCAAAAAATCAACTCAGGTCTACATGGCAATTACATAGTGTTGACGGGGGAGGGGGGGGGGTCATTATTCATCCGAATTCAAACTGAGCCTGTTATTTCCCTCAAAAAGGAAAGTATTTGAAAGCTAGAAGAAATGTAGTGTTCTTACATACACATCGATAATTTTGACCAAACTAATTATAAATTTTCTGATTAGTCTTCTCGTGATCTTAATGGAAAAATACTTGAAAATTTCAATATCTATGTAAGATCCACTCAAAAGACTGAATTATAATAAACAAAACAATTAGCGTTACTAAAATATCATTGACGTTCTCCAGTAGATATATAGACATGAGACTGTATTTGGTTTAGTGCATTTGTATTTCATTTCTATTTCATAGTGTATTCCATTTGGTATAACGTATAAAGTATAATGTCATAAACATAGTTAATACAAGCATGAGTTTCTAAGACCAGAGACCAATCCCTGAATGTCATACAAAGGTAAAGGTGTTATAAATATCATAGTTACAGCAGTCAAAATCGAAATGACATAAACATAAACATGGTTCATTTCTTTGCATATTTACAACTTGTCAAATCTGTCATCAAATTATCCCCATTAAAAACACGAAATCTGTAAAATTACTTTTATTTTTCAATTTTCCGTCTGCTGTGTTTCCATTACACAATGCCTTGCATATTATGCAAATATTGCACCATGGTTTGGAGGGATATTCCAGTGTATATCTATCCATTCAAACGATCTTCTAATATCGTGCAATGCCATAAAACGTAGCGATGCATTGCTGCTTTGCTCCATATTCTCACTGGTAACCGGGTTGACCACAAACGTCATCAAAATAGTTATTTTATAGTTTTGTAGTTGAAAAAGAAAATAAGGTTGAAAAGAATGGTATGATAAAATACACAATGATATTTTGAAAGATGTGTTATTGATGTGGTATTACCCAGCACATAATCTTAACAGTAGAAGACATTTTATTTCAATCTCGCTGATATACCAGCTGGCTCACAGCAGAAATATTTAAATATCAGGTGCAGAAGACAAAAGCGTTTATTAAGATACCTGTGTAGTAGGCAACCAGTCCATGCATACATGTGGGGCTCAGACACATGGAGGGATCACAAAATAGCAAAGATGTTTGCAATCGGGGATAAAAACGGAAAATAACGAAAGACAAAATATTGTGGTCTACCACGTCGTAATACTTGTAAAAGTATAATGCTTGCATGCAATTGCTTATGAATGAAGTCATTTGAATTTTTCAATCGACTAGGTAATCGTTGAGAGATTGGGAGGAGGTAATTATTAACTGCCATCTTGGAAGGTAAACATTTCGACGTCTGGTTTATTTGAATGGTTTGAAATCCTTCAATGACGTCACTTTCTTTTCATATGAATGCTCAAACTTCAAAATTGTGACGGCTTTAGCATTTCTCGTTATTTGAGTAGACGAATAACAAGAAATATGTTTTTATATTCGCCTCAAATAATGTGTAAAAATAGAATGAATTATCTATGATTGGGAGTAAACACTGACATCAGGTAACTACAAGAATTATAGCTAATGTCGTTAATCACTATTTACTATTTACCGGGGGCTCAAAAATTGTTGCGACATGACACTTGGGATGGAATCAGCCAATCCATAGAGGTTGGCTGACTGTCGGTGTCATGGCATACATAACCACAAAAAGCCAGTAACTAGAAATAGTAACGCTATTCACATTAGTCGCTTGAGAAGTACTTCACTTGGGACTGATAACTGACAGAATCTGAGATGCTTTATTGATTATTAAACATTCTGTACAAGTAATTTTCAAAAATTGCAATTAATATATACAAATAAACGAATCACAACATGAAACGTGAAATTGCGAGTTACGTACAATATTGTATGATAAAAAACTATCAAAAAACTAAATAATGATAATAATAATAATAATGGATTGTTGTAACAAGGTGTAGTACATACAATTTAACATTTTAGATGAAATTAGTACAGGTCTTTGTTGATATGAATAAAAATGATAGGCGCATCGCCCCTTTAAGTGACATTAACATGGCAATGACTAGATGCTTAGGTGTAATAATGCTATTCGACAGGAAAATTGTCAATTGCTTAATCATCCCATGCGCGACATTTGATTTATGAGAATAAAGAAAATGGGATAAAAATACAGGACCGCCACACAAAATATGGAGAAAATTGTTTTGTTGATATTTTGTCGTTTTAACATTGTTTCCATGCAGTGTCTCGGAAATAACAATTTTCTTGCAAGTTCATTGTTAATGTCAACAAATATCACAATTTTGACGCATGATTTTATGGTCTTATGACAAACGTTTTCATTACGGACTAACAATGGAAATTTTTACTAAAATGTTATTTTGCGTACTATTTGACATTTCTTTCTTGAAAAAATACAGTGAACAAGTTATCTAATACTGTAGTAATTATATACAGATATTGTAATTAATATATGCGCAAAACAAATGCGCATGTGTCAAACATACACAGATGTCATCATTTCCTCAAGCATGATGTAAAACATATAGAGGGCGTTTATGCAGTGGAATAGTTCACTAAATTAACACTATGCGGACAAACACCGCCATGGTTACAGTTGCTACGAAACTACTGAAAGGGGTGAATGCGCCATTGCAGACTTGGGTATACTCGGGAGGAGGTACAATTCCTGAATTGCATGTCACCCCGTCTTCGTCGGGTCCATTGTCGCAGCAATAGGAACACTGTACGTTTTCATTCATGAGTTGCAGAGCGACATATATAGCCTCCGTGTCGTCATCAACTAAAACTGGGCACTGCTCATCTGACCTGTATGCACTGCAGCTAAAAGGAGTCGCACATCTATTTGTAAACAAAATAAGTATTGTAAGATTAATCCCCTGAATCATGAAAAGCTGTTGGTCTTAAATTTCACTCGAGCATTTTATAGGTTTCTGACTATTGGGCGCCATATTTCCCCTCATCCATAATTTTTCTTTTTTTATCTATTTTTTTTCCACAATTCCATTGATAATTTTAGATTTTTTATTTGCTACAAGTTTTGGTAAATATTTAGAAATACATATAAACAGATTAATGTGCGTTATTTTTGATAGACGGCAGTTGTCGCTAATTTTATAATCTAGAATTTTCTAGGTTATGAGAAATAATTATTCATAATTTTCAGTTTCAGAAGCGTTTCAAGTGTTTTTTGCTGGCATGTCCAATAAACCATTTACAGGTGTCACGTGATTTGTGTATCCATGTACGTCATTAAATACGCGAGTTATAGTTCTCTGTATAGTCACGGTCACATACGGAATAAGTTAACTAGAGTAATGCTGCATGTAGGATGTGAAACACAGTATCTCATTACAACATTCGAAATGCTGATGTCACGTAAAACAAACAAGTGTTGTTTGACATACATACCCTTTCGATATCACCGGAAGTCCGTCAGCGTTGTACGTAATGATAGTTTGACACAACGCCTCTTCGTCTGCGCATGATTCGGGTTCAAAGGAACAATCAACGAGTGCAGCCATCCCGTCGATGGGGTTAATTGTTAATGAATCACAGGTGTAACAAGCTGCAACAAATTTAATTTGGTAAGTTATAAGTATTTATGACACGGTTTCGTACCCGTTTACCCTTCCAATTAAAGAACCCCATGGTATTAACAAACTCATTTGTTGAGCTCACTACCTAAGGCGCGTTATTTGTTCTATTGTGGAATTTTTTGTGATTCTAACTTATAGTTCATGCGCGTTCTTACGTTCCTATGTTCTACCTGTACGTTATTACACTTTCTTCTATGCTATCGATAAAGAGCCATTGCTCGAAACGTCTAGCTATTTTTAATAGTTATTTAGGACTACGATTACCAAATATTATCTTCTATATATCATATGTATCAGTCCGAGCAGCGTTTATTTATTTATAAACTACGTTTACCCTTCGCTCCACGAATGTGTGGAGTCGGCAAGCTAGATCATTATACCTTGAAAATGAAAATTCAAAATGACAACAACTAATTGGCAAAGGATTTTGTTGATCATTACATGATTTTCAGACATTTCAAACTAAATACAACATTTTCACTTCTCGGCAAGTTACAACTTCGTATACGTGCAGTACATTATGGGAACATTTTTTTACACAATCGAAAACTAGTTATTACGCTGAAAAATCACTAAATTAAATATTATATTATGATTCATATGCATAATAATTTATGACTTTTTATCTAATGTCACTGAGCACAATTTTGAGATACAAAAGAAAAATTCAACAATATTGTTGAAGACGTTTTACCCCTGAAATGTCAAGACTTTTTTTTTCGACAAATGACCAGTGACCCATTATTTGTTTGGTATCATAATGGCTTCCATCCATAATAATGAAAAGAACGCAGAATATGAAATATAATCTTCAATTAGACTCAAACCTTCTTAATTCGACTTTTCAACTATTTATGTTGGGTCTCAGGCTGTAAAAAACGAATCCTGATTCGCGGTTATCGAAATACAATTTATATTTATGAATAATTAACCAGTGTTAGATTCACAGAAGACTGATTGTTTGGCTAATACTTACAGTTCTCACAGCAGTCATCGGTCTGCACTTCTTCGTATTCTTCCTGTGACTTGGATCCGCTGCTACTGTGGCGCTTTACACGGAAAAGATCGTCTTCCTCGTCTTCGTAACGCCGACGACGGCTTTTTCCACCGGAACTGGATTTAGAAGCACAGTAATCGGATTTGGAACCGGATTTGGAACCGGATTTGGAACCGGATTTAGAACCTGACTTGGAACCGGATTTGGAACCGGATTTGGAACCGGAATTTGATTTGCTAGAGTCACCACATGTTCGGGTTCTGCTGCGACAACAGTCATCACACGATGACCAACAACTCCATGGACTGCATCCATCTAAGATAAACAAATATTCACCCACTTGTTAATTGGTGGAATTTGCCTTTGTTGTGAAAACAGTTTTACATTTTCATTTTATTGGCCTCTCCCGTGATCCTCCACAGTGGTACATATGCTTTAGTTTTTGTTCTTGTTTTGAATGTTGTGGCTGACTCATATTCATTTAGATTTACATATGACGACATGATTATGATATATTATTAGACTTGTTGTTGAAATACATTTACATCTCAAATGTCATTACTTGAAATAAACAATTTAAATTTGTAGTTTAAACCGTAATTATGTCACTGCTTGCCAAAAGGTTCATGATTGTGTGGCAAGTCATCGTTGCAGCGTCCTTCATCACAGCAATAACTGCACGAATCTTTGACAATGCCGTCTTTGCAGTAGTCATGGTTACCACGCTCCTCTTCCAAACATATCTGCAATACATTGAAAACAAAATCATTCAAGTGATTATAACACAAAATATTTATATGCTTGTACATCATTTAGAATAAAGCTGTACCACTATATTGGGTCTTGGTGCAAGGTACTTACATCAATATCAACGCACTGCTTGCTTATAACCAACCTATCGTGGTCCGTCTTTAACACAGTCTGACAATATTGCTGAAATAAATAAAAAAATACATAATTGATGTTTAGCAGTCGCTGTGATTCTGAAGACGTGTGTGTATTGCAAAGTTTTTTTTACAGCGCCTGTACTACTCTCAGCGAGCACGTCACGGTGCAATGAACGATTCCGTTATTCTGCTTTGTGACACCCAATGCAGTGTGTACACGTCACAATGTAGTGTGTGCACGTCACAATTATATAACCGCAAGAAAACATTATTCACAACGGATAAGTCAATACTATAAGTAAAGTTACTTCGGATTACCTCAAAATCTACTCGTCATTTTGATCAAACACGATTGAATTTGTGTCCAGTGCAGCAATAAACATCATAAAACGCATATGTATATAATTATATTTCATAATGACCAATCAATATTCGACACTTAGTAACTTAGTCTAGTACTAATGATCGAACCCGGACCAAGTCAACAGATTGCGGTAGATATTTGACTCATGCTAAATTTCTGACTATAATTCCAAAACCGTTTTATTTTGAGCACGCTCGCCAGATAGCTTCTTCTCACGCCTCATTTAACAAAATCAATTTTACAACACTTACACCCTGGTCACAAGTTACTTTATCTTTCCGGCATTCGAGATTAGAGTCTTCGTTGGTACAGGAATAGCACTCGTCGACACCGATTATCACGTCGGCATACACCCCTGAAAGTACATATTACACAGCTAATGCTGTTAACGAATAAAATAAAAGCCAATGTGTGTAGAATTTCATTAATTATATATATATATATATATATATATATATATATATATATATATATATATATATATATATATATATATATATATATATATA